GGTGCTCTGGGAGACGGAGCTGGCAGTGCTGGAATGGCTCATGTGCTGCTGCAGAGGTGGCATCTGGTGCTGTTGGCTGTGGCTGCGGTGCAGGTCCTGGAAAGTGGAAGACACCAGGCGGTCCTGGGACCACTCCTGCTTGTGTGGCGGCTGGGACAGGGATGGGTTGGAGCGGGTTTGCTGGAAGCAGACGGCCGGTCTCTCCACGTAGTTGTTGCTGGCACGGATGGAGCGGATTTGGTCAATGGACAGGACCTGCTGGAAGTCCTCAGCAGGTGGGTCCATCGTCTCGTCACAACTGAGTTCAGCCACACTGGAAGAGAGCTGCATTTCCAGGAGCGAGGAGACCCTGCGGCATCAGGGCACATCTAAAAATCCTAAAGGATGGGGCAGAAAGACAGGGAAAACACATGTTACGTTTTGTAATGCATCCATCCAAACCAGGAGGCAAAGACTGGCTGGAGAACTCCTAACAGAGCTATTTCCAAGGATTAGACTCAAAGTACGTCTGTGCCTGGGGGGGAGACTTAGGCTGGACACGTCCAGAAGGCAAGGGCCGCAAGATCTGTCCCTCGAAACAGGCGGGCACAGCATCCCCCCTGTGCTTTTGAGCTTTTCCTGTCCTTCCAGAGGATTCCCTACCCCTTACCAGCACTGATGGACCCTGTCTGTCCTCCCTCTCCTTTCCCAGGAGAGGGGACACTTGAAGCTGTGACTTATCCAGAGTCAGTAACAGAACTGGGAATGACACCTCCTCCAGAGCAGGAGACTCTGTTTTGGGGCTTCCCAGCACACCCCGAGCAGCCTCCCAGTACCATACTCCGTACACACCCAGGGCATGGGCCCGGAGGGGTCAGAACTCATTTAATTCCAGGCAGCATCAGCAACAAATTGCAGCTAATGAGACACACGCTTGGCCAAGCCCACGGACACCCTGATTCCTGGTGGTTCCCTCTGCCGCATCCCGTTTTCCCACGCAAAACCCGGTGATAGCCCAGAACGGGTGTACCCCCGTGACGAGCACGGAGAAGGGCCCGTTTCTCTCTAACCCTGGCACAAACACGGGGTGAAGCAGGGAAAGCAGGATTCACAGCAGGCAAGCCCCGTCTTGCCCCCTGCACCCAGGCTGCCATGCTGTTTGCCGTTGTTTTTTAGGAAATGGCACTTCCCGAGTCAGCAGTGCCGGCAGCAGCACCTCCTTTATCCGGAGGGAAGGTCGGGACCATCCGAGGGCTGTGGGCTGGGGCAGGGAGGACCCCTGTGACCCACACCTCCCCCCCCTCACCAGCAGGTTTGGCCTCATGGCATCGGCACCATCACCCAAAACCTTGCCAGGCTGGGTGAGGGCAGAGGCAGGAGGGGGTCTGCAATGGAGCCAGGTCTTGGCCCTTAGGAGTGAGGGTGGAAGAACGTTCCCGCTTCTGCCTGCAAAACGGAGCTGCCCAGGAGCGCGCAGAGGACGGGAACCATTCCCTGCATGCCAGACCCAGCGAGGAGCGTTCCCCCAGCACTTCCAGAGTTCAGAATGGGATACGTGCGATCCGTGCACCACCACCTTCCCCGGGACAAAGCCATCCTCCCCTGGCAGAGCAAACGGATCCCTCGGTGACACAGGTATTGTCCCGGTGCCCGGACCCGCAGGAAGACCCTGTTTCACGCGGAAGGTCCCCACCGGCCCCGCACATGGTCAGCCGGCCACGGCGGCGGCCGAGGCTCTCAAGTAGGCGAGGGGCCACAGGTAGAATCTGCTCATGCAGCAGAGAGAGGCAGAGGGAAGATTGATTTTCATTAGCTAAGCTGACCTTGAAGAGCAGGAAAAAGCAAAGGCAACTTACTTTGATTGTTCAAGCAAGATCTGGTCTCTCCCATCCCCCTCCCCGGCAAGCAAAGGCCACTGAGCCATTCAGATTTGGGTTTTCCCTGAGCGTGGAGCCCACCCGCCGCCCCCTCCGTGCGATCCTAGGTGAGATGCTCACCCTGGGGAGAGGCAGGCAGTGGACGGGGTTTGGATTTGGACAATGGATTTGGACCGGTGTTTGTGTACCAGAAATATCAAGGTGAATTAGGAGGGCATGGCTGACCCAGGGGTGGTTTGGTGACCACGCTGCCAGGATGAGAAGGGGCCGCAGAGGCAAAACGCCCCTCTGTGAGCTGTTACCTGCTGCCACGGAGCTCCTCATCTGGGAATGTCTTACAGGGTGGTGACCTGAACCCCCCTGCACCCCCGAGAGATGTGACACATCTCAGCCTGCAGCTAGGACCACACAGAGGGGAGCAGAGAGCAGCCTCTGCAGGTTCCCACATCCCTCATGACCCAGATCCCATCTTGGGGTGGGACCGTTCGGGGGCCGATGCTGATTTACACCCGGGGAGGAGCTGCTCACCTCGGGGTGTCCATCCCCTCTAACCCGTGCGCTGGGATCTGGCGCTACTTGGGCATTAGGACTCAGCCAGCCGGACTCCCGTGAGGTTCCCGTGTGGGGATTCAGCCAAGGTGTGACCCAAAGGGAGAGATGGAGGCAGCGGAGGGTCCCGCTGCGGTGGAGACGGTGGAACTGGGGGATCAAGCGCAGCCAAAGGGCAGAGCCAGCACAGCTACACCCGATGCTCCGTGTAAGACCTGGGGCTCAGGCGACACGAGGGGAGCCAGGAGCCGTGCTCAGGCAGGAGGTGCCCGGGGAACAGTGCGAGGAGGAGCAGAGCCCCGGGGACAGGAGGCAGAGCGAGGAGCTGGCAGTCGGGCCATGCAGTGGGTTGTGACCTGGAGTCTAGGGCTTGGACACAGCATCCCGGGAGGACCCCCAGCACTGAAACGGGGCCCGAATGCTCCTGGATCTATGATCCCCAGGCATGGAGTTTATCCATGGACCCGGACTTGCTGGCCTGGGGGTGGTGAAGGTCCCTCTGGGACCCAAAGCCAGAGGATCTGTGGGTTCTCCAGTCCAGTGGGATAGGAGGACTGGGTGACCAGAGCCAGGACCCTGCTCCTGCCATACCCCCACCCCTGGAAGCCCAGTGCCTCCCACTCACTCCCAGCCCTGCAATCCTGGGGCTGCAACCAGTCCATATCCCGGCCCCACTAGTCTGACCATCCCCGCAGCGGGGCTGCACCTCTCCCTGCCTACCTGCCCATCTGGGGGGGCCCAGGGCAGCGTGTCCCCAGCCTCCTCCCCCTCACACCCTGCCTGCGACCCAGGCATGCCAGCCCCACAAACCGGGTGAGCTTTCTGGCCTCCAGCACCCCCCCAAACATATAAAGTTTGTGTGATAATGGGCCAGAGGAGGGATGGTAAAAGCAAATGATGTACAGGCTGGAGGTGGCTGCAAGCGGGGGACGAGCTGCGTGGGGCACCCAGGGCTTGTTCCCTCCGGGGGGACCCCCTCACCCCACCCCGGGTGGAG